CCAGCCGGTACCTCCAGGCCCTGCTATCCCGCTGCCTGCCTCCACTTCATCTGGAGCGCTGCTGGGCACTTTTATCCCAGATCTGCCACTGCTACCACTTTCCCTGTTCCATGGTGTTTTTCCAGTTGCTCTGGCGTAAACCTCGCGGGTCACCTTGTCTCCTTTCTTTCCCTCACGTGCCACATGCAGCACATCCTGGCAGCTCTAAGGTAGAGCCAGAATCGGGCCCTGCCGTGCCACCTCCGCCGCGCCCACACGGGGGTGATGGCAGTGGCGTCGGTGTGGTCTCCCGACCCCCACTCCCTCGCCTCGTGGTCGTGGTCGCTCGGAGCTGGAGCGGCTCTCCTGCTCTGGGCCGGCCCCTGTCAGCCTCGTGTTCTCCCGCCCCCGCCCGAGGCTGTCCCTGGTTCTGCCACACACGCTTCCTGGGAGCCGCAGTCTGGGGTTCCCGGTGCCTGCAGTGCACTCTCCCGGCTTTCTGGGTGACTCGCTCCTTCGCCTCCGCACATCTCTGACCAACACCCCCTCCCGGGAAAGGCTTCTCCGACCCCCTATAACACAGTATCCCCCCACCCTGCTTCCTTTTCCCTGGCGCACTCAGCACCCTGGCACACTGTGTATTTGTGTGTTTGCCTGTCTGTGTCCCCAGCTAGAACACAAACTCCGAGAGCTGGGTCAGGGCTTCGGTTCGTTCTCGGTGCCCAGCACAGTGCCTGGCCCATGCACGCAGGGATGGGCAGGAAGCCTAGGGCCCCTTGCTCTCCCTCCCAGAGTGGCTCTCACTCACAGACCCGCCCGGCCCCCCAGGTGCGTCTTCCTGCCCGACCAGGGCGCCTTCTTCGTGAACTACGTCATCGCCTCGGCCTTCATTGGCAACGGCATGGAGCTGCTGCGGCTGCCCGGCCTCATCCTCTACACCTTCCGCATGATCATGGCCAAGACGGCCGCCGACCGCAGGAACATCAAGCAGGTGCCACCCGCTGGGCACGGAGCTGTGCCTCCGACTCCCTCCCCCAGCCCACGGGCCTCTCACCCCAGTGAGCCCGGCGTCTTCCCAGTGCCAGGCTCTGGGCTAGGTGCTTCTCAGCCCGGGCCCAGGCGGGCATGGCTCCTCCGGCCTCCGCTCTAACTCACCGGCTGACGAGCGGGCTCGGGAGCTTTGCGATTTAACCGGTTTGGCTACACACATACGTTCGTACAACTAAGGGCACCAAACTCCCTTTCCGTGGACAGCCGTGTGTGTAAATTCTTAGGAGTACCTCAGATGTCAATGGCATTTTGGGCCGTGGCGTCTACTCCAAGATTCCCTGAACCGGATGGTGTGGGGCTGGGGCTCTTTCGTTCCCCTCTGCCACGGCGGGTGCTGTGGGGGAAAGCGGGAGAAGCTCTGCTTCCCTTTACCTAATTCGCAGGGCTCCGTGAGACGGGCACTGCCAGCTCCCCTGTTTTACAGACGTGCGCACTAAACTGGCCAGCACCCCTGGCCGGAAGGGGCAGAGCCTGTGGGGAGTCACTCTGCGGTCTGTCCCCAGACCACCTCTGGGGCTCACAGGCCTGCTGGGTAGACAGGATGGGAATGAGGGGAACACGAGGAAAACGTGCGTCACTGTGCTTCGGGATGTCTGGGTGTGCACAGAGTGAAGCTGGAGCAGGCCGGGGCCGGGTTGGAAGGACGTG